TAATCTGAAAATGAAAACACTATCTTGAAAATGTTATCAAATTTTATGGAAAAGACTTTTATAAAGTAAGAAGATTATTTTATACCTAAGTGTTAATTTAAAATATCATTTATACTATTTTATCTTATCAAGCAGAAAATTTATAAGAAAACTAAGATAATTGTAACATTAAAATAGATTATATAACATTATTATAACAACTATTTTATAATATAAATAATATATTTATTACTGCTTCTCAATTACTATTTGCAATATCAGTATGCTACATTATCATATTTTCAAAAAGCTTTTATAAATGTTCTAAAATTTTGATTTATCAAATATTCTGTAATTTAATATGCTACATATTAAAAAGTTTTGTTCTGATCACATGATTAACGTCTCTTATCAACAAATATAATTGATAAAATCATTTATAAGTAATAAAAATGTATACTTTAATTATCAAAGTTCATATGTAATAAATTAAAGTAAATAAAGCTATAATTTTGATCTTTTTGATGTACGATTTCACTTCTTATGTTATATCTATGTATTCAAATCAGCATAATTTTCAAATTACTAATTATAAGAATAAACATGTTTATAACTAAATTTTAATATTTAATTGAAATCAACAATTAATTATTATAGATATATTATAATCTAAAATGTTGAATAAATAAAAATATTGTATAAATATATTATTCTATTTTATATATTTAAGTGTTATGATACATATACAAAGTCTATGAGGTAATTTTTCAATGCACAAATTTCTGGATTAAAAACAAAAACACTTTTATAGTTTTAGTTATGTAAATGAATATTAATAAGCATATTAAATCAATAATCTCAATAATTCTTAAGTTAATAAATCATAAAAGAAAAATAACCTATATCAATTTAACTTAGGTTTAATATGATTATTCCAGTGTTTGATATATCTTAATTGTTGGAAAAACAAAAAAGAAATAAAATTGAAACAATTTCTTTTCCTTCAGAATAATAATTATGTTAATAAATTAGTTATATTTGTACTTCAGTACGTATGTTACACATAATATATAAAATAATTAATTTAAATTTAATAGCTGTGATGATAAATTAGAAAACTGTACAGAGAAAAAAAAATTCTTTTTTAAATAAATATTATAAAGGTCTCTTAATGAACAAATAGGAATAAATAAAAAATAAATTAAAATCAATAATATTGTTTGGAAATATAATAAAAATTTACTTATAAAAATTTATTAATTAAATTAAATTTATTATCAGTTGAATTTTCATATTAAAAAATTTCTGGTAAATAGATGAAAAGAAATGTTATTTAATTTTCAATATTTTATAATTAAAAATATATTTAAATTTTGATAGATTTCATAAGCAAAATAATATCTAATAGCTAAGGATAATTTATTTATTCAGAATGCATTTTCTTTTCCATTTACATACTTCATTCAATATGATCATCTTGTTTTCAAATATGAAACAGTCAATTTGTTTTCCTCAAATAAATGTCACTTGTCAAATAACTCTCCGAATAACTGGAAATTTTATCCATAAGTTTCTCATGTTATTTTTTTCGTACAATAAATTATTAATAGATTTTGAAATGCAAATCTAACAAAATTAATCATTTCTAATCAGATTATCATAAAAATTTCTAATAATAAAATATTTCACATCTGCTTTAGCTAATATTATTCTCATTATCTAAATTACTGTGTTATCATTTAAAAAGTAATTAAAAATAATTTTATACATTATAAAAATGTTACTAACATTATCAAAGTATTTTCTTAGTTATTCTATAAGAAAGGAAAAAAATAGAGATAAAAATTTGTTGTTTTATTTCGGTAGAAACTGTTATACGAGTATTTAAAATTATGTATTCTCCATGTTGTAATTATCAGCAAAATAATGTAGAAATCAAAATCAAAATCAAATATTTTTATATCAGTGTGAAATTTTAATTTACAAGTAATTGAAAATAAAATCTAACTGACTTGATTAGAGTAAAGAAAAGCAATTCTTAAGATCAAATAACAGTCATTATAATGAAATTTTAATAACAAAATAATGTTGTATCTACTTTGCATGTAGTCATTTTATTATGCACAAGTTATTATGTATGTTATATATATTGATATATAATAACATACATGACTAGATATTAAAGTTTATCAATATAAAATATTAAAAATACAAGACAATATTATCCATACGACAAGATATGATTTGCATAATTATATTAATTTTAGCAAGTAAATTCTAGTATGTTATATTACTATAAGAATACAGAGTATATAATGTATACAGAGTATATAATGAAAAGCCAAAGACAGGTTCACTATGCAACCCTAGAGAATTAAATTTCAGAAGCTAGACTTTTTTTTAAAGAAAAACATCACAAATATCTTTAAAAAATACTATGATTATTCAGTTTGGCAGAATATAAAATCACATCTGTGCAAAAGCATGTCTTATAGTTTAAAAAGCAGAAAGAAGGTGTGAAAAAAATTTAAATCTGCTAAGTATTTTGAAAAATAATAGAAACCTATTACAATATGAACAAGAAAATATGAAATATGCTAAAATTTGGTTTTTCACTTTGTTGAAGAAAACAAGGCATAAAAGCTTTAATGTATAGTAAAACCATGCTTAACGTGGAGGTGTGTTCCTAGACTACAAAGCGCTAAACAAAAACAGTGTTAAACAAGGTCATTTTAACAGAGTAAATAGAGAAAGGGGAACACACAACCAAACACAAACAAATTTTACTTTAATTTTAAGTTATTTTTATATTAATTTGCATTAAAAAACACAAACATATGCACACAAAAATGTAAAGTTCATTTTTTGTGACGAAGGTCCTGACTTTTCTGAAATTCTTGTTTTTTTGTGATAAAGTCATGTAGTTTCATTTGTCACTTTTTTCTTTCCTTAAGCAAATGTCAGTAGCAGAATATTGCATCCAAAATGCCTCATTTTGCTTTTGCACTGCTTTCAAAATCTGGATCATTTGCTACAATTTGATTGATAATTTTGATTATCATTACCAAACTTTTACTAAGGAAATCTATAGAAAAATTTTTTGGGTTCTTTGTTTTCAGAATCTTTATTTTCCAGTTCTACACGAATTCGTTGTTCTGCCAGTTTTTGAAGGTTGTCATTGATAAGGCTCTCACCAGTAACCTGCAGTAACTTCTCAATATCCTGCTCGTCTACATAACCTAGTCCTGATATATCGATTAGGGTGATAGACTCTTCTCATTGAAAATTTTTGGATACCTTCAGCCATATCTTCTTCCACACACTGTTCATGCATTCTTTAGTTAATTCTTGCCATGTGAAGTTGATATTTCCTATGACATCCATGATGGTACAATTTTGAAAAAAATATAGCTAACAAACATAAATTAAGAAAAGTACAGCACTAAGACAAATTGCCACCTTTTGCTGATTGGTTTATGTTTGGGAATAATTGTATTATATACGAATCAATTAGATGCCGTGATCATTTAAATTAGCATAAATTTTGAGCTTTTTTAGGATTCGAGCAGACCATGTTATATCGAATCAGCGTTAAGTGGGGTCTTACTATACTTCTGACTAGAAGTTTTTCCAATAGTTCAGATAATAGAAAAAAATCCATCCTTTAACAGCTGTTAAATTCATATTAGAAAAGTAGAAATCAGGATGAGAATCCATAAAAAGGATCAAAAAACTCTATTTAGTTTTATCTGCATAAAGTACTTTTTATGATCAAAAAGTCAACACACAAATTATCCTTTATGCCATTATTATCAGATACCTACAATACCAGCAGATCATAGATATATAAAAATATTCTCAAATACAGTAATTAAGAACAGTACTAATACAATGTCATTTTATCATTTTTAAGAATAAATAAAATATTAGTAAGTTTGCATATTGGTATTTTCTGTTATAATCTTATGAATAATTGTAATGTTATAAGTAAAAGCATAAAGTCTCTCATTATAAGCTTATGTTATAATTAAGATTATAATGTAACCAATAAATAGTCATTTGCTTGTAACAGAGCTAATAAAATGTAGTGAAGTGTTGACATTGCTTCATCAAACATGATAACTAAGAAGAAAAATTTTGATTTTCTAATGTTGAAAGAGTTCAAACAATTCATATATTGTTTAATAAAGTTTGCAAGAATATTCCAAATGATAAAAATTAATTATGGAGCAATGTTCATTCTGTATTTATTTTAAGATATAGTAAAGTAAGAAACACAAACTACATTAAATATCAATAATTAAATTGATAGAAGCTGATATATATTTGTATTTTTAGATTCAAATTCTATACTTTAAGATTATCAAAGAAACAAATAATCTAGTAAGAAAATTTATGAAATTGATAAACCTTAAAACAATGAAGAATGATCAAGGACAATTAAACATTGCCAACAATCTTATTTCCAATGTATTGATATAACATTTTAAGCATAATGAGTTATGTTACAAATGCTATCTCTGATATTTAATGTTAGACTACTTATACTTAAGCATAATGGAAATACCAATTCAAAAAGTTATGTCTGAATGCAAGAAAAAAAAAAAAAACTAAGTATAAAATTAAGAAAACCATGAATAGTTCAAAGTGTATGCTATTCTTTACGGATATTTTTATCAACTTTTCTGTATAAATTATTTTATTCAGGTCATATTTCATAATAATTCATTTCTACAATTTCTTGTTAATCTAGAAAGCAAATTTTATAATCATTTTATTTTTGTACTAGTCAAAAAATGTTTATTCCTAACTGCTATAATATTATAATGGACTATTTTAAAATATTTTTATTTATGTTAATCTAGCAAAAAATTCCCAAGAAAGTGAACATGTAAATAAGTGTCAATATATTATAATACAAATCATTAATAAAAATTTGAATGCAATACATAGTCATATATTTTAAACCGAAATATTTATTTCATCATCAATACATCAATAATAATATTTCGTTAACTTACTTTGTACCACACAATCGCTGGCGATGGCGTTCCTTTAGCTTCACAAGGCAACGAAACGGATTCTCCAACTTTAACGTAAACAACTTCTGGAGGTTTCACTTTAAAATGAGGAGGAGCTAAAAAAAATAAAACAGGCAAATGTCATTCATTACTGTAATAAAATAATATATCAATGGTTATAATTTTTAAATATGTCAATACAAAGTAATAAATAATGAAAAGAATGCTATTATCAAATATTGGATTTGTAGAATTAAATTTTATTTAATTTAATTTGAAAAAATACATTAAATTGTATACATATATATAATATGTGAATAAATATAGTTATTGATAAATGACTTAATATATTGATTAAATATAAAAAAGTTCTAGAAAATATGATAAAATATTCATCAATATAATGATAATATTAGATATTGTATTAAATATATTAAAAGATATTTGAAATTCATTATTTTTTCTAACAAAAACTATTCCGCTTAATGTGCATATTTCTATCCTTCATATAAAATCAAACTGAAAAAAATTGAGATCTTATCACTTGATATAGTTACTATAATAGACATTTTTTACTCTGTTCATAATGTTTAATAATTTTTGATGAGTTAAATCACTGATTTATTCTACCATGATCATAATATTACTTTTCTCAGTCATTTGTGGAGCAAAAACGCATTATAAAAATTTTTTCAGAAAACGAATTTTTAATGATAACATCAAATAATGTCATTAAATTCACAAATGAATTTAATTTTCCTTACATCTCAGTCTCTGTGGATGTAAAGGGAATTGAATAGAATTCTGTAAGATTTGTAAAAAGAATAAAATAGTTACTACGTATTCTTTAGCTTTAAAACTCGTGATTTGTTTCGATAACTTCATATTTTAACTGATAACAAGTGACACTTTAAAGATGACAAACCATAACATGAAATTGACAACTTAACTCCATTCAAAATTATAAACACGAGTGGCGCGCTTAGCGCCACCTGGAAGACGATTATCTTTTGCTACAATTTGATTGATAATTTTGATTATCATTACCAAACTTTTACTAAGGAAATCTATAGAAAAATTTTTTGGGTTCTTTGTTTTCAGAATCTTTATTTTCCNTATCTATAATTTATTTATTTAAAAAATTATAAAGATTTTCTTTTAAAAAATAACAAAATCTCCAATTACAGAACCTCTTGCACCTCATCAATTAATAGAAATTAATTTATAAAACTAGTTACATGATTACAGATGATGTTTACAAATAAAAATAATAGAGTTATAATTAAAGATATAAATTTAATAGATTTAAAATAATTTTTAATTGTTTCTCTGCTTGTTATAACCTATTTGAGGAGTGTTGTCTAATTATTGAGCAGCTTAACAAATCTATATATATGATAATTTAATAATTTTAAGTTATTGTAAGTGAATAAATTTTTAAAAAATAATTAAATATGGTAACTCAAATCCCCAAATTTGAATCTGTTACTCATTGTTAATGAAGTTTTACAGAAAAGAATAGATTATTATACAACTGTATGAGAATTTAAAGTTAAAAAGTGGTAAAGACTTCAAGAAATATCTTAAAATAATAAAAATAAATGAAGGTTTTCCTTATACAATAATAAACTTGATAGTAAATTGAGTCTTGACAGTGCAAGAAGCTGGACTGAATAATAAAGTAATAACAGTTCTAGTGGAAAAAGGGATTTCAATTGATACTTTGCTTATGAATTATATATCTTTTATGTCTTTTAAACCACATATCAACCTTATAATAGCTTTAAAAATAGATTTTTTAAGTCAAATATCTCTCTTGTATCAAAAACTTATCTCTCTTGTAAGAGAAAAACAAACAAACATCAAGAATGTTTACGCAGAAAATTGATGTTGAAAATTATATAAGTTTCTATTTTGTTAAAAATTTCATAAAAAAGAAAGATAAATTTACATAGTTTTACATGCAAGAGTTTGTTTAATTATGGTTAATGTTACCTATGGTTCCAAGATGGCGGCGCTTCGGTTATGTTAAGTTAGATTAACTATATTTTTAGTAGACGTTTCCTTTTTTTTCTAATTTTATTCAAGAACTACCGTGAATCAATAACTAGTGACGTTTGGCACAAGGCGGCCTGCCGGCGGCTCCCCTCCGGGAGGAGTCCGTCTGGACCACGAAAAGTTGGAAGCGCGGCCATCTTGGAACCATAGATAACATTAACCAATTTAACAGTAAGGACGTATCCTAATCGCTTGTACAAAAGATTTATATCTTCAAATTTTACAATTTCCAAATTACTTAAAATCATTATTCTGTATAAAATTAAATTACATTAAAATATTAAATTTTAAGAAAAACTACAATTAAAACCAACAACTTACATTAACAATGAATATGCGAGTTTATCACTTATTTCTCATATTATTAGATGATTTCTAAGATTGTAAATAGATATGAGACGTTTGCTTGTTAAAATATAAACGGAGAAATGTAAATATATTTTTTAAATCTAAATTAATCAAAATAAAGTCTCTTTTTTAAAATCTTAAAGCATGGATAAACCATGGATCTTGAGGATCCTCTTGAAAAATTAGCATATAAATGCTTGTATAGGTAAATTAGGATGAGATCATTTACAATTCTTTATTTTAAGAAAAATTAATGAATTTTTTTCTAATTTAGAAGCGAATTTCTATACTTTTTAAGGCTTAAAACGCGTATTACTTCATTGATAGTACTTCATTAAGATGCTTCAAAAGCAGAATTGTAACATTAAGCGTGTTTTTTTTATTTAAAAAAGCAATATTTTCTAAATCTTGATTAATAAAACGAATTATATCTTTGTTAAATTATAAAAAAAATTTTAAAAAATCAAAGAGAAACTCAGAAAAAATAGAATTTATCAGGATCGAGTTACACGGAGAAAACACCTTACAGGGGTTTCGTTTCAATTTAAAAGTATTCCCAGATTTTCTAGATATTAATAACGTAAATATCGCTTAATGATAACATTATCCGTTAGCGATATTAATTAAACGTTATTAGTCTAATTCATAATTAATAAAGCGGCCAAAGGAAATTAATTTTACTAATCCTTTATGATTTGTTTGAAAAAGTAAAGAAAATGATTAAAAATTAAAAAATAAAAAGAAAATAAAAGATAAAAATACTTTAATTACTTATTTCATTAGAACTATTTTCAATTAAATTATTAATAAGTAGAAGAATAAGAGTAAAAATTTCACTAAAAATCACAAAAGAATTATAGAAAATATTTTAAAATTGTTGATTCACTCAAGAAAAAGAAGGAAAAATATTTAAAATTTTATTTAATTTATTATTCTTTTATTTTAATATTTAAATTTAAACTTATTTTATTGATATTTTTGTAGCACATAACTTATGCTTCATTAATTTACTCTGTTTTATATATATAAATATATGCATTTGTAGTACACATAAATAAACAATTATATAATTTAGATTATATTTATAAGAATAAAATTATCTATAATTTATTTATTTAAAAAATTATAAAGATTTTCTTTTAAAAAATAACAAAATCTCCAATTACAGAACCTCTTGCACCTCATCAATTAATAGAAATTAATTTATAAAACTAGTTACATGATTACAGATGATGTTTACAAATAAAAATAATAGAGTTATAATTAAAGATATAAATTTAATAGATTTAAAATAATTTTTAATTGTTTCTCTGCTTGTTATAACCTATTTGAGGAGTGTTGTCTAATTATTGAGCAGCTTAACAAATCTATATATATGATAATTTAATAATTTTAAGTTATTGTAAGTGAATAAATTTTTAAAAAATAATTAAATATGGTAACTCAAATCCCCAAATTTGAATCTGTTACTCATTGTTAATGAAGTTTTACAGAAAAGAATAGATTATTATACAACTGTATGAGAATTTAAAGTTAAAAAGTGGTAAAGACTTCAAGAAATATCTTAAAATAATAAAAATAAATGAAGGTTTTCCTTATACAATAATAAACTTGATAGTAAATTGAGTCTTGACAGTGCAAGAAACTGGACTGAATAATAAAGTAATAACAGTTCTAGTGGAAAAAGGGATTTCAATTGATACTTTGCTTATGAATTATATATCTTTTATGTCTTTTAAACCACATATCAACCTTATAATAGCTTTAAAAATAGATTTTTTAAGTCAAATATCTCTCTTGTATCAAAAACTTATCTCTCTTGTAAGAGAAAAACAAACAAACATCAAGAATGTTTACGCAGAAAATTGATGTTGAAAATTATATAAGTTTCTATTTTGTTAAAAATTTCATAAAAAAGAAAGATAAATTTACATAGTTTTACATGCAAGAGTTTGTTTAATTATGGTTAATGTTACCTATGGTTCCAAGATGGCGGCGCTTCGGTTATGTTAAGTTAGATTAACTATATTTTTAGTAGACGTTTCCTTTTTTTTCTAATTTTATTCAAGAACTACCGTGAATCAATAACTAGTGACGTTTGGCACAAGGCGGCCTGCCGGCGGCTCCCCTCCGGGAGGAGTCCGTCTGGACCACGAAAAGTTGGAAGCGCGGCCATCTTGGAACCATAGATAACATTAACCAATTTAACAGTAAGGACGTATCCTAATCGCTTGTACAAAAGATTTATATCTTCAAATTTTACAATTTCCAAATTACTTAAAATCATTATTCTGTATAAAATTAAATTACATTAAAATATTAAATTTTAAGAAAAACTACAATTAAAACCAACAACTTACATCAACAATGAATATGCGAGTTTATCACTTATTTATACCTTTTGCTGTTTATACACGTAATCAAATATGGGGTCCCATGATTGGTGGATTATTCTTCCTAAGTTATTATTAATTCTATTTCTTTCCGTTTTTTATATATTTATATGTTCGTACAATTGCTTTTTATAAGTATTAGATTTTTTCTTTTTAATTTTTATAATTTTTAAATCAATTTGGCATCCGTGATTATTACAATGTTTTGCAACAGCAGAATTTGAATAATTCCCTTTGATTGCTCTTATGTGTTCTTTTATTCTAATACCCAATTTCCTTTTTGTTTCACCAATATAAGTTTTTGCCGGATTACAATC